CATGGAGATGCGTGACAGCCCATTCTCATCAGTTGAAGCGAAGAATCTTGGAAAGATTCTAAGAGTCTAAAAACATTGTTTTCTAAGAGAATAGAGCACGGTTTACAAACAGACTTATTCGACAAGTTATCTATCAGAAAGCAAATTATCTCCTCGCGGAGGTTCAATGCAGTGTCTTCGCTAATAATATGCTGCCTGAAGGTTAGATTCTCCCTTCCCTGCTGTACTTGACTGGTGGTGGCGCATCACCGAGTTTTGTTTTCCGGTTCTGCATCTTAATGCTCCAGGTGGTCTTGTTCTCAAGTTTGAAGTTCTAAGAATTTCAAGTCCGAACCACAGCCCCATACCCTCCGCCCAGGCCACCCTGGGAGCTGATCTCACAAAGCATTCTTAGGAGTTTAGATGAATCCTATGGTGTGTATCTCGCTATAGGTTCCCAAGAAGTCTACTAGACCAGGAGGAAAATACTGAGGTGAGGGAGACTGGAGAGGTGGGAAGAACCCATGCTCTGAACTGGTGCGTCAGTTGGGAATCTAAGGACAAGGGTTATTTTGAGAGAATGCATATCAGTGTCATGCAAAGTGTTTTACATATTTTTTGGTGACTTTTTTTTTTTTTTAATAGGCTCCACTGCCAGCATGGAGCCCAGTGCAGGGCTGGAGCTCACAACCCTGAGATTAAGTCCTGAGCTGAGGTTAGGAGACAGATGCTTAACTGACTGAGCATCCCAAGCAGTGCCCTTCTTTTTTGGTGATTTATGAATGTGCCAGATAGCCACAGCTCTAATAGTATGGAAGAGGAATAGTGACTTGTGATTTTCTGGCTGGCACAGGTCCCTCAGCACTGCCCAAGCTGGGGCAAAGCAAGCCGGTGTTCTTCTGGGGTCTGACCAGGGACACTCAGGACACAGTTACTAAAAGGAATCTTACATATAAAGCTTACCTACTTGTCCTCCCCTTGGAGTGTCTGTCCTGCACCCTCAGTTTTTATAGATCTTACTTGTAAGCAAATTAAAAAAAATAATATTTGGTAGACAGCAAGTAGATGAGAAAGTAGAATATTGAATGTGCCTGACTTTGCTCACAGAGCTTTCTTAGAGAAATGCTTCCAGATCAGCACTCTAGCTACACGAACTTTCATCGCAATTATTCTTCATCCATCTCTAAGTATCTCAAAATACTTAGCTGCCAAGTTCAAGATTTGCAAAATAGTTCAGTTAAAAAGGAGTAAGGTTTATCACAATAGTTGAAAACTGGGTCGAGGGACACCTGGGTGGCTCAGTGGTGGGATGCCTGGGGGGCTCAGTGGTTGAGCGTCTGCCTTCAGCTTAGGGCGTGATCTCGGGTGAAGGGATCCAGTCCCATATCGGGCTCCCTGTGAGGGGCCTGCTTCTCTCTCTGCCTGTGTCTCTGCCTCTCTCTCTCTGTGTCTTTCGTGAATAAGTAAATAAAATCTTAAAAAAAAAAAAAAAACTGGGGGGCAGCCTCGGTGGCTCAGTGGTTTAGCGCCACCTTCAGCCCAGGGCGTGATCCTGGAGACCCAGGATCGAGTCCCACGTCGGGCTCCCTGCATGGAGCCTGCTTCTCCCTCTGCCAGTGTCTCTGCCTCTCTCTCTCTCTCTCTCTCTGTGTCTCTCATGAATAAATAAATAAAATCTTTAAAAAACAAAACTAGGTCGAGTCAGGAAAGTAATATTTTTCCTCCTGATAGATTTAAGATCACAGCTGAAGATGGAATGAACAGAAAACCGAAGACTCAAAGCCAGAGTTCAAACTCATACACCTAATTGTAACTGGGGTTTGTACTGGATTGATAAGATCCAGCCGGAAGCTGCTATTTGGAAAGGCGTTCCTAATCATGCCAAGAGTGAATAACGTGGCACGCCTAAACACTGCTGGTGGGTGTGCAAACCGAAGAATCTCTGGCCAAGAAATCACACCCATAGGCATTTAACCACATAGGACTATGCATACGAGAGTATGAAGATAATACAAGCAAGGATATTTACTCCAGGGCTGTTTGTCCAAGCAAAAAGCTGGAAACGGCCTGAAAATACACAAAAGGGATTGGATTGAAAAAACTAAGGTAAATGCAGCACACTTAGAGCCTTTTTAATACAAGGAACAGCGTGCAGCTGTACTGATGGTATAGTGTGACCTCACTGTTGGAAAAATTATCTATCAAGGCGTATGTGTCAATGTCAAGGTAGGAATAAAAATATCTGGAAGGATATGCTCCAAGCAGTTAGCAGCAGAGACTAGGGGGAAAGGAGAGGGAGAAAGAAAGAGAAAGACGGACATTCCAGCTTATATGCCTATGTAATCTATTATTAAATTTTAAAAACAGATTTTCACAACTAAAATAATACTTTAATAGATTTTGATTTCTAGGTCCATAATTTAATAAATTAACAAACTAAGTAAAAGCAACAGAATGCAAGTTTTACCTGGACCTTCCAACTGATTCTATGGAAGAGTCCAAGAAATCTGCTTCCCATACTGATCAAGTGCCACCCCTCCCGTGCACAAGGGGGAATTTGTGCGGGGTGTGAGTCGACAGATTTTACTTGCTTGTACTGAAGCATCTGGTTTTGATTAGAATCCAACTTAAATATTTACTTTATATTTACAAAATAACGAGACATGAAGCTATACTCTGGAAATTAAAATGCACATTCTTGAACAGAGAGGGGGAGGATTATAACACACGATCGGGAATACTAGTATCACTGGTTCTAAAAACACAGAGCAAGTTGGCTGCATTAAAACCCCATACACTAGGGGAGCCTGGGCAGCTTAGTCTGTTAAGCATCCGACTCTTGATTTCAGCTCAGGTCATGATTTCAGGGTCTTAAGATCAAGCCCCACAGCGGGCTCTGGCTGGGAGTGGAGCCTGTTTGGGATTTGGGATTCTCTCTCCATCCCTGTCCTTCTCCCTCTGCCTCACTCCCTATCCCCAGCATGCTCTCTCTCTGTCTTAAAAAAGAAAAAAATCCATATGCCAATGCCCTACCTATGGGGAAAATCATAGTCAAATCTTCTCCCAATAAATACAGAGTAGGTTCCTAATCTACTTCTATTATTATAAAAGACAAACTGTTTTGTTTTTGAAGAGGATTAAGATACACGGATCATACTAAGAGCGGATAATGTAATATTCCTTAATGACAATACATTAGCCACACAGCAAATAAAGAGGAGCCATAAATGTCTTTCTGTTAAAAGCCCTCCTAAGAGTTTGCTTTCTCACAAGCCATGCCTATCTACACAAAGTTGAGTAGGAAACAAAAAGAATTACGTGGATGATTTGAGGAAATCATTACTTTGGCCTGACCTATCCAGACACATGAGGCAAACGGGTCTCCCAACCTCACAAAATTATCAAGATAATCTCAGTTCTCTGCTTCATCTCCCGACTTCACTGGCAGGGACTATATGCACATGGATGAGAATGGATCACAACTTGACCTTTATAGTGATTGCTGTTCTTTAGAAAGCCTGGTGGCCATGGTCCTACTGGCCCCTTTGCCCACTTGGCACAGTTTAATACGTGTGTGTGGATGGGTTATGCTTAAATTAAGTGTAAAAGTATGCCAGGATTTTCTCTGTTTTTCTCTACTAGGGTTCCATAATTAACAAAATCATAACACGCCTTGGTATCAGATACCTGGCTTCTGCATAGACAATGTGCTTTTCAGTTGGATTCTTCTCACTGAACAGGAGCTAGACGTTATGCAGGAACAGAAAACAGTGTTTTATGACCACTGGAAAACCGGAAAGCTTATGATGAGTTTGTGTTGTTTGGAGTGATTTTCTTGAAACCTTGTGTTCTGATATTTTGTCCTGACATAACCTCGCTTGGCGTTTTCTTACAATTTTGATGAAATGAAAGATGACTGACCACTCTTGAATATTGTAAAAGGGACTCTGTGATAATTTGGTAAACTTTAACTTTGTAAGAATTAGAAGATGTTCAGGAAGTGCCTGTGACTTCAATTAGGAGTTTCAAAGAATCTCATCTGTAAAATTATTTTTAAAAAACCTAGATGAATAAAAAAATCAAACTTGGACAGGAGGTTTTCTTATATAACTACCTTAAAACATAACTTCTGAAAAAAACTTTTGAAACTTCTCAGTATTCAGAGAAAAATGATGGTTTCACACTGAATAGTCTCACAATGCTCCATAGGTTTTTTTTTTTTTTTCATAACAAAAAATAAAGCTTGGGGCGCCTGGTTGGCTCAGCAGTTGAGCATCTGCCATCAGCTCAGGGCATGATCCTGGGGTCCCGGGATCGAGTGGACTCCCTGCGTGGAGCCTGCTTCTCCCTCTGCCTATGTCTCTGCCTCTCTCTGTGTGTGTCTCTCATGAATAAATAGATAAAATCTTTAAAAAAATAATAAAGCTCAGAAATCTTTGCCTTTTCCACATTCCCAGCCTTTGACTTTTGTTTCCAACCGGGAAGATGAAGCAAATAAATGAAGAGGCTGTATAAATCAGCAATCGGTAGAAATTCCTCTATTGTAACTGCTGGATTTGCGAGTGACATTTAAAATTCTAGAACTGTTTAGGCAGGTATGGAACAAAGTTGCTTTTACATGTGAAGGGGGGTCAATTTTGAAACACAGTAATAAGAGGCAACCTACTTGAAGAGAATAATGAAGTCCTATTAAACACCAATGTAAAAATATATTCAAACTAGTGGAGAATTTGCTATTGTAATTACAATTATTGCTAATTGTACTAACTACAAAACAGTTCTCCATGAACAAATTAATGAGCCCCAACTCTTTCTCCAGTGAAATACAAGCTTGAGTAAAACTCACAGATAGGATAAATCCCTTGAGATCTCAATTATCTTTTACTATGTTCCAAAACTCCTAATCTAGGACATTAATTTCAGGGTATATAGGAGTTTTAAAAGATGGTATTCTTTTTCATTCTAAAGCAAACTAGTGAGTTTGACTGCCCATCTCTTCCCCCCAAAATACCAAAACTTACCACATAGTTCTTCTGTGTCAAGGTTGCTGAAAAGAAAAAGAAAAAAAAAAACGGTTATTACTTTGGTAATATTTAAGTTTTTAAATAGTTAAATACTGTTATTCCCCAATCTATATTACTGTATTAATAGATGATATGCAGTTATGGTATTTCTCTTATAAATTCCACATTACTTAATCATATTAAATGACGATTACATCAGATTCTTTTTTAAAAAAACACATTTATTTGAGAGGGAGAAGCAGACGGCCTGATGCAGGGCTTGATCCCAGGACTCTGAGATCATGACCTGCGCTGAAGACAAACGCTTAACCAACTGAGTCACTCAGGCACCCCGGTTATATCAGATTCTATCTTTGAACAAATAATTCCTGGGTTTGTGTTTTCCCCAGTATCATTCTGGAGGATACTGCCCAAGTATTAAGCATATAGGCTTTGGAGCCAGAATGCCTGAGTTCAAATCCTGACTCTACCATTTACCACCCATGTAACCCTGGGTACTTGGCATCTCTGGGTCTCAGTTCTTCAACCACAAGATAAGGATAATAAGTTCTGTTTCATATGAATGCAATAGGGTGTAAGTGAGTTAATACATATAAAGCAGTTAAAAGAGTAACTGGCATAAAAGGTTACTTAATAAATATTAGCTATCATGATTTCTGACTTGATAGAATGGCTATAATGGTTCCATACTCAACCACTGAGGTTAAGTTTGACTCAATGCCTTTGTGTGTGTGTGTGTGTGTGTGTGTGTGTGTGTGTGTTTGTGTGTGTGTTTTCAATGCCTTTTTTTGGAATGATCTTTGAAACATAACAAATATTCCATGGCGTAAATATTACATGTAAAGAATAGTCACCTCTTATTCTTATAAAGTATAGAACAGCAGAGAAAATATGCCTATCAAAACAACGTCTTGACCATGGCAGGCACAGTACAGGAATGCAAGAATGGTCCAAATATCAAGCAATAAGTCAATATAAGGTTGCATTATAACCTAGAGGAGAACACTCATATTAAATACTAGATAGGGAAAAAATAAATAAAAAAATAAAATAAAAATAAATACGAGATGGGAACTTAATAAAATCCAACACTCCTAATTTTGGTAAGTTTAAATAAAATTGGAATAAGAGTAAACCTCTTAAAGATGGTAAGACTTACTAAAAGTCAGCTGCAAACATCAATCAACTGAAAATCTTGGACACTATCCAGCTGCCCCGCAGGTCAAAGCTCAGTGGAACTAGCCGTGATCACCCAGTCCTCCCCCATGCGGCAGGCAGGCCGGGTACGAGTGGAAGCATTCCAAACACTGGGTCTTTTTTTTTTTTTTTTTTAACCAGTTCCATCACTAGTTGTAATATAATTTTAAATTCAGGATATTATCCTCAGATGCTGAATATTTGATTTTGTTTTTTTTTAATATTTGATTTTGGATAAAAGAGTCTTCTGTGGTAGTTTCAGCGTGGGTTTCTGTTCCTTCATTCATTCATTCACCCCACAGGCATTCATTGCTGTGTGCCACGCACTGTTCTAACCACCACAGGTCAGTCAGGGTGCAACAGGTACCGAGATGAGGATGTCCACTCCCTAGTCTCTAGCAGCTGGATTTAGAGGTAGACGTGTACGGTAAATGATTAAAATGTGGTAAAAGCGTTGCTATGGGGAGAAGTGGCTAACTGCAAGAGTATCAGGGACTATAGAGGATGCAATTTTGCAGCGACATCTCAAGGGTTAAATGAGTAGAAAAGGCAGACAAAGGAAAAACATTCCAGTGAGAAGAAACACCATTTGCAAGAAAAATTATGCAAATGGGGAGTAGTTCCTTTGGCTGGAACATAGATCATTAATAAAGAAATAGGACTAAACACACACACACACAAAAAAAATAGGACTAAACAATGAAAAGCCTCATGTGATCATTTGGAAGGTTTCTACATTCTCTCTTGTGAACTTGGCATCACAGAGGATTTTAAAGAAGGTGAGTGACATCGTCAGATTTATACTTTAGGAAGGTCACTAGCACATGGGTTGCAGTTAGACAAAAAGAGGGTGAAAAAGAGGCCTAGAGAACAGTTTGGACATTATTACTAGGGTAATATATGTAAATTACTAGGGTAATAATATATGTAAAATTCAAGGACGCACCCCCACTGGATGGCCTTGCACACCTCCATGGGTTGATCATTCCAGTGTGGGATCAACTGGCCCAGACTAGTAATTTCAAATCTACAAAAAGATGCTCTTCACCTAACTCCCCCCGCCCCAGAGTTGTCATCATTTTATTTCATTTATCACATTCTTTCTCCATATGTTTCTTCAAATCATTTGATCGTACATTGCAGATGTGCTATCCCTTTACCCCTAAATTCTTCAGTGTGTATTTTATACAAATAAGGATGTTCTCTTACATACAAGTCAAGAAAATTAATATTGATTCAATGCCATTATCAAATCTGGCAGTTCTCAGGACGCTGGGTGGCTCAGTGGTTTCGCACCTGCCTTTGGCTCAGGCTATGACCCTGGGGTCCCGGGACTGAGTCCCGCATCAGGCTCCCCACAGGGAGCCTGTTTCTCCCTCTGCCTGTGTCTCTGCCTCTGTCTCCGGGTATCTCACAAATAAATACATTTTAAAAAATCTTTTAAAAAAATCTGGCAGTTCTCAAATATCTGTATGTATATTTAGCCTTACACTTTTTTCATGTCTTTTTGTGTAATTTATAGTGTATAAATATTAATACAGTGGTGCACACATAGGATTTGCAAGTCTTTTTTATATATTAGGATTTTAAGCCAAAAAACCATTACCTAATAGGAGAGCTTGATCAGAGGTGCAGGATGGATAGGCAGAAATGGGGAGAAGGGCCAACCAAAAGGATGGTCAGATGTGAAGGATTTCAAGGTGAAACTATCAAAACTTGGAATCTTACTGGATTCAGAACTAGATCACCTCGAAATTTTTAGTATCAATTTAAACATTTTGGTCACTAACACATACGTGTCATTTCCTGACCTTAGTGTTTTCATAGAACTTCAGCCTTGGAAAAGGACATTAGAGGTCACGACGTTGTTTTCTGTATTTTTTTATTTTATTTTATTTTTAATTTTTTATTTATTTATGATAGTCACAGAGAGAGAGAAAGAGAGAGAGGCAGAGACAGGCAGAAGGAGAAGCAGGCTCCATGCACCGGGAGCCCGATGTGGGATTCGATCTCGGGTCTCCAGGATCGTGCCCTGGGCCAAAGGCAGGTGCCAAACCGCTGCGCCACCCAGGGATCCCCTGTTTTCTGTATTTTCCTCAGAATGGTTCACAGGTTCATAATGAGATTTCCAATTTTAAAGGCATAAACAGTCCAATCCACTATGAGAGCTGAATCACATGGAATATATCATAAAACATAGTTTGGAGTAATTTGCATGATATTAGTTCTACTTGGTCCTTAATAAAAGGCTACGTTCCCAGAGCACTATAGTGACTGGCCCCTCAAGCACCCCTTTATTTAGCTGTTTCTGTGCTATGTCATTTGTTGTGCGTAGAAAAGCATGGTTGTTTTTAGAGTAGCCTCAGATGGGTTATTTCTATATAACTGATTTCTTCCGAGATACCTCCGTCTGGTGGGAACGTGCAATTGTAAAGGAATATTCAGCCGCAGATAAGCCTACAGTATATCTGACAGCGTGTGATATTGTCCTGCTTCTTTTCACATTTCTAGCAAGAAAACCTATAATCTTTTAGCTATGCTATTTTTTTTAAAGAAAGCTATATGGAAAGAATAAATGCTAGTTACATTATAAACAGTCTTATGGAAACAGACCCAGAGGGGTGTTCCTATCAGAATGCATCCTCAGCTAGATGCCAAGGCAGGGGAAAGCACAGACATTCAGTGCAGCCCGACTGACAAGTGAGGGGGAGAAATGGAAACAAACTAAGTGCTCATTAGCTGAATAACTAAGCAAATTGCATATCATTACATAATCATTAAAATCTATCTAAAGAGTTGTCAATAGCTTGAGAAAAGCTTATGTGTGGAAGTTATGTAAAAATGTGAAACCAGATATAAATGATATACGTAGGATCAAAAAAAATCAATTATATTAAGGACTTGGGAAAAAGTGAGTAAGAATGCCAACAGTGGGCCACGTTGCTTCTGGATGCTGGGACTCTGGGTGGGTTTGCCTTTTGCCTTCTTTACAGTTTTCCAAGTCTTTTTGTCTTATTGCAAGGTTTCATTTATAATGGAAAGAGCGAATTTTGTGATTATAGATAGAATGACTCAAGGATGCTAAGCATATAAGGTTCATATTGTCTAATTTATGAATCTACTTGGTATAAATTATAATCTATCTGTCCGTTTGTACCCACCACTGAATTCTGCAAAATGCACCACTCAGATGCTCCAAGTGCAACAAGGACACCACATGCACCGAACACCCTCATTTACACGTCTCAGGGGGAGCTGAGGTTTTGACTTTACTCTTCTGTGTTGGGCACTCTTGAGTTCTGAAGAGCTAAATCGCCCTCCTGAGAAGTATGTTTACTGTCAAGAAAAGAGAAAATATTTGGGAAGTGCAGACTGATCTCTACTTGGGAATTCAGCATCTTTCTAATATAACCCTTTAGAAGTCCGCTCTCAATTCTAGGGTCTACCTCAAAACAATTTTAGCTTCACGTTAATATTCTTAGTTATCTCCGAAGCATTTTTCAATGGGTTTAGAGATCTTTGCAGCATAAATAAGAACAAAGGATTATGACTTTCTTGCTGAAAAATCACCCTTCTAAACTCCTTCTTTGCTTCTGATTATATTCAAGATTTTTAGCTTCTTCAAAATTAACACGCTGTGGATCTTAGCAGGAAGCTTTAACATCTAAGCCCCACCTCACATTTCACTGAGCTTCCAGTTCATCACCCGCCAGTCTGAACATTACCAGTGCAAAGAGGTTTCTTTCTTCAGTTGGCAAAACACTTTGCTAAACACTGCTAAGCTCCCTAATAACCCGAAGGAGTTAATTCTGGCTTATGAAGATGT